ACAAGTTAAATATTTAATTCAAAACTAAATATTTGAGGCACAAGTTAAATATTTAGCTTGTTAACTAAATATTTAATTTGTAAGTTAAATATTTAGTTTATAAATTATGACATTTATAAATGTATGAATCATATGGTGAAGAACTGCCTTTGAAAAATAAATCTGTTTTTTTCTTATAAAAGGTTAAATAAAACCAAAATATTGGTGGTAATTTTGGACTGTAACTTTACAAACAGCACCACACACACTGCTGAGTGTTGGTGAGGAAACCGATAAAACCAGGTGAAGCTCCACACCTGGCTCGTCTTCACCACTTCTGTAAAAACTGTTCTGATTGGACGAGACGAGGAATGATGAGTCAGCTGTTTGTTTGTTTGTTTGTTTGGAGCCAAACTTAAAACTAAACAAAACTAAATTGGAGTTTTGGTTTTCATTTGTCTCGTTTGATTCTGTTAAATTTGCAGGAAAAAACAAACAATGAATAGAAAACATAAAATAAAAACTAACTTTTGGAAAGTTTTAATTTTTTTCTGTGTTTTGATATAAAAACACTTCAGAGAAAGAAATAAACTTTTTTAGACGTTGATTTTTCAGATTTTAACTTCTGGTTTTAAATGTTTGGTCCAAGAAAAATAAATCATCCAAAACTATAAAACATTTATCTTTAGATTTGAGTTTTATGTTGGATTATTTTATTCAGTATTAGTTATGAATATTTAAGAACAAATTGATTCTTTGATAATAAATAGTTGTGGTTTGGGTCAGGCCTTAAATCTGTTTATTTTTACTAAAACTAGGAAATATAACGTGTTTGATACAGACTGTTTTTGTTTTTGACTAAATGATGAATTTAAATAAAGATTTTATGGTTTAAAAATATCTGAAACTATTTAAAATTCTTGGATTTTAATCTGTTAGTTTTTTACTTTCTGTGAGACAAATATTTTAACTTTTCATCAAATCTACTGAATTAAACAACTTTGTATAAATAGAATTTAAAAAAGAAACGATTTAAAAGATAAAAGCTGCAGATTAACAGACAGAAGATTCAGTTTAATAAAAACTTCAGAGATGAAAACAAAAAGTAAAACAAGAACCTGCAGCCCACAGCCAGGACCTGGTCACCTGTAGAACTCAGAACCGAGTCACAAAAGGTCCGGATCACAACGGTCCGGATCACAACGGTCCGGATTACAACGGTCCGGATTACAACGGTCCGGATTACAACGGTCCGGATCACAAAGGTCCGGATCACAACGGTCCGGATCAGAACTGTGAGCTCGTTGTCTTTTGAGGGATTTAACTCCAGAAAACTCCTCCTGGTCCAAAGAGTCCTGTAGTTTCTTGTAGTGGTAGACCTGAACAGAAAGTCCAGGTCAGTTGGGGGGG